ATTGATTGTAACCTATATTTAATGTTCCCCATCGAAATTGTATTAAAAAATGTAGTGATAAATAGCACTTAGCAACAAAAGTATTTAGCGTCTATTTAAATTTAGCATCAGTTATATATATATTTACTCCGAAATGACGTATTATAATAACAATAACAATGATATTAAAATATTTCAGAAACGCTTGATATATAATTGAATTTTCAACTCGTAATCATTTCTACAATACTTCGATTGTACGTAAGTATTACTAACAGCTGTGATATCACAGTACATACCGTACATATGTCCACAGTAATAGCATTGGTGATACGTTTCTAACATACTAACTCCATAACCAAAAAAAGAAGTAGTTGCAGTGAAATAAAAGGTCAAATAATAAAGATCGCAGTGTGCAATAAATGCTTCTTAATTGGGTCATTCCACTTACAAACTGAAAACAACTTCTAGAGAAAGATAATACCATGCATTCAAAATAACGCAGCATGCACAACTTATTATGTGTTTCAAAGCTGGTAAATATAATTTGAAATACATGTGAAATAACAGTGAAATTAACAGTTATAATAGATTGTCACTGACCTTCTTTACTTGAAAATGTTCTGGTCGCAAATTCTCGACGATTTCCTGATCAGGTTTGACGGGTTGCGGTACCGACGATCGGAACCCGTCGAGCACGCCTTTAATTGTAAACTTCTTCATTACGAACCGAAGATAACACCTAAAGGATCACATGTGCAGCAGCAACACAGATTCAAGCGTTTCTAGAGTCCTAAGTCAAAATACGTGTGTAGTTTTGAGAAATAACCGTTAACGAGAAAATCAAGAGTTTCTCAATGACAAAAATCTTCAATATGTTCTGTTTAAAAGTTCCTTTTCCCGCAGAGAACCGACGATGACATCCTTACGTATGAATTGCAAGTGTCACTCATCGATATTTCGAGTCTTACGAGACTTCTTCTACATTTTGACAGAATAACGATGACGTTGATGAGGCACTACAGCACATTTCAATATCGTAGTACTTCGTGTAAATGTAGACGCACACGTTACCGTAACCGTTTGTCGGCGCGTTTTTACAAACGCTGCGTGACCAGAATTGTTTTCGTAGTTGACAGCAATGCAGTGTTGTTTAATCGTGTCAGGATCAATAACTGGCAACAGGCTCATGTGGACTCTCGCACGACCGCGAACCTACTCTGTGCGCAATCGTGGACGAATCTTTATGGCAAGTTTTTATGGCACATACATATTACCATTAAGGTAGGCCAGGGATAAAGATAGTTTAGGGATATTGATCCGTGTATAAATTAACTATTGATAATAAGTTATAAATTTGAATCACACACAATAAATTGAATTTCAATTATACACATTTAACTGTTTAATTGTAAATTGAAGCTTACAACGAAATTTGCCAGTTAGTCTATTACGTATATAATCAATTGAACAAACATCTACGAAATTTATTTGAGAGATTCTTTTATTTAATTTTAATTTAATAAATGTCCTTCATGTATTTTAACATGTAATATATTGAATAAAATAATTTGAGAAACTAGTGAATTGTAAATAGTTGGTAGTTGGTAGTTCAATACTACCAATCTCTAAAAGTTTAATGCTTTTTCTAGTACTTTTATAGATATATATTCTAGTACTTTAACAAAGATTTTATATATTTAATATAATAATATATACTTTTTATTTTGCTCATCACTATATACAAAATAATAATATTTTTTATGAAATACAAGATTACTTCTCCAATTCTTATCAAATACATTTTTTATGCATAAATAAGATAGCAACTTTAAATATAAAGTCATTACTGAATTTTATATCAAATATGCACAATGACAATTTATTGTAACTGAATATCATTTTATATAAAAAAAAATTAATTAATCAGTTTTGAAATTATATTATACAAGTAATATTTATAAATTACAAGTAACATTCTAATAATAATCTAAAATACACTTATTTTAAAAAGAAAATTGCTTTCAAAGTAAAGAAAATATGTTTAAAAAAAAATTGCTTTTATAACCTGAATTTAAATAGAATCTATTCGATTTATATTATGTTTTATAATATGTTTAATTAATTTATAATATGTTTAATCTGTAATACATAAATGTAAAGTGTATTATATTATATAAATATGATTATGAAGTAAAAGATATTCTTTTAACAAATTATTGCATGATTTTACATGCTTGTATTATATACATATATATTGTACACTATACAATATCAATATTAGATGAATTGCACAGTATAATTAATTTTTTAAAATTCAGTTTTTCGTATATTTGAATCACTTATATAACAGCTATTTCAAATATTATCTGTAATATAAAATATCATGTATAAAAGGAACAAAGTTTAGTATAAGGTAATAATTTCTTTTCTTAATGTTTTTACTTGTGTTTATATTATTGTATAAGTTAAATTGTAACAATACGTATTTATTAAATAAATAACATATTATTACATATTAATAAATGTAAAATGTTATACATTAAAAATATTATTTCAGGAAATTTTTCCGGAAGAGTTGTATAGGTTAAGAAGTTTCAAAATGATGAGTCCAGGTAATGTAACACCTAAATTTCGCAATAGTTTCAATATAGCAACAAAAGATATATTAAGATGGTTCCCTGGACATATGGGTAAAGGAATAAGACAAATGCAAAAGCAGCTGAAAAACGTAGACTGTCTTATTGAAGTTCATGATGCAAGAGTTCCAATTTCTGGACATTATGCAGATTTCACCAACACATTAAGTGGAATAAAACCCCATATTTTTGTATTAAACAAAATGGATTTAATTAATATGAAATTTAAGAATTCCATAATAGAGACTTTAAACGAAAAGGGATTATCTAATATACTGTTTACTAATTTTAAAGATGAAAAATGCAAAGGTGCTGCAAAATTATTACCTTTGGCACAAAAATTAATTAAGGAATCAAATCGCTATAATAGATCACAAGAGTCTTCATTTCAAATAATGATTATTGGTGTCCCTAATGTAGGAAAATCATCACTTATTAATCGTTTGAGAAATAACATTCTTCATAAGAGTAGTGCTGCTCATGTTGGTGCTATTGCTGGTATTACACGATCTGTTTCAACACGAATAAAAGTGTCAGAAAATCCTGACATTTACATTTTAGACACACCTGGAATTTTAACTCCCAGAGTACATGATATACATACAGGATTAAAATTGGCATTAATTGGTTGCATGCAAGATCATTTAGTAGGACCAGAAATACTGGCAGATTTTTTGTTATTTTTGCTAAATAAACAAAAGCGATTTGAATATGTAGAAAAATTAGAGTTAACAGAGCCACATGATAGTATATCACATGTTCTTATATATATTGCAGCAAAATTTAAAAGAACTTTAAGAATAAAGAATTATGATGGTAAAATAATCATAAAACCAGATTTAAGATTTGCAGCAGAATATTTTCTTTCTTTGTTTAGGAAAGGACAATTAGGATATTATTGTTTAGATGAAGATTTATTACCAACAAGACAAAAATAAAGTATAAAATACATAATCATAAAAGTGTTAAATTTTTGTTAAATATTTAAAAATATACCAAATACACATATATGTACTAATACGATAGAGTCTCAATAAGTTTCAATTTGTACATACAATAAATATAAATAATTTTTTAAATTTTTATAATCTTATATAGATAACACTTAAAAAAATTGCTATTGATATCATTATTCTATTTTATTCAAGTATCACAAATATATGTTTTATTAGCAGTTTAATTTAAAAAAATCTTGTGACAATTATAGTGACAAAAGATTATAAAAAACAAAGTAATTTTATTCAGAATAAATCAATATTAAGAATTAAAATAAATAATTAAATTGTTTAAATTTATCCTTAATAAATAAGAAGCACAACAGCAATAATAATTGCAAAAGTAATATTTATCAGATAGTGAATAGAATTAATTTAAAATATTATTGCAATGTTTCTAAATCATTAATTACATATAGTATGTATTTAAATGTAATGTATTTAAATAATAATTTTATTTAATTATACAAGTATATTTTTATCAATTTTAAAAGTATAAAACAAATTTTTACAAAATAAGTATAAAAGTATAATGTATGTTCAATTATTTTAATTTATTTTAAATTAAAATTGTTCAATATGTTTATTTAAATAATTTAATATTTATTCTTATGTTTCGTATCTACGTTGTTCAACAGAAATAATTTATATACATATATACCCAAATTTTTTTTAATTTATTTAAATTATTTATAGATAATATGCAATTTTATGGAATCGTAATGAAATGACCATCATGTACCGTTAAAGTTCAGTTCCTTCTTCATACGTACAAACTATTACTTTCACTTACTAAACTTTGTACAGTACGATTGAATAACAGTAGAAAACGATTGAAAATTCCTTAACAAAGTTAAAACATTATTTAAAAAATACTTAAAATAAAATTGTCCTAAACGAAATTATACTGTATATGTATATATTATACGAAAATTATACTGTATATATATATATATTATATTATATTATATTATATTATATTATATTTAAACTGAAGTTAATAGAATAATAAGTAATTGCTTTTATCAAGGAATTAAAATTATAGTGGCAATGTTTGCGAGAATGACATTTTATCCAACGCTTTTCTATAATGTATTAATGGAAAAAATTTCGTCAAGAAACTGGTACGATAGAATTGACGAGACTGTTATACTGGGTGCTTTACCATTTCGAAACATGACTAAGCAGGTATATGTGTAATTATAGCCATAAATATGTATATTATATCATATATAATACATATATAATACATATATAAATATGTATATTATATCATATATAATACATAATAATTTGAATTTGAAAAACTACCATAAAAAAAAATATAATTTAATTACGAAAAAATACAAGGTCTCCAAAATTTTAGTTAATAGATGACGAAAATGTTCAAGGTGTTATTTCAATGAATGAAGATTACGAATTACAATTGTTTTCCAATACTAAAGAGGTATAAATATATGTAAATACTATTATTACATTTAAACAAAACTTTTTAGATAATAAATAAAATTTAGGTAAATAAAACTAAATAATATTGGAATACATAATTGCACATATTTTTTAGGAGTGGGAAAAACATAATGTAGAATTTTTACAATTATCTGTAACAGATATTTTTCATTCACCTTCGCAAGAAAAGTTACAGCTCGGTGTAAATTTTATTAATAAATTTCGTAATGTTTCGAATGAATCAAACAATTCTACTAAAGCTGATAAAACTTATCTTAGAACTGTTTATGTACATTGTAAAGCAGGAAGAACACGTAGTGCAACATTGGTTGGATGCTATTTAATGATGGTAAGATAATTGTAAATGTATAAAATATTTTATACAATTTCATATCTTTTAAATTAAATAAAATTGAAAATTATAAAAAATAATATAAATAGAATAATATAAAATCATTTTTGTCAGAAAAATCAGTGGACTCCAGAAGAAGCAGTAACATATATGCAACAAAAAAGGCCTCATATATTACTACATACACAGCAGTGGAATGCATTAAGAACTTTTTATAATAATCACATAGAAAATAATAAATTATTTAAATGAATATGTAATTATATTTAATATTAATATATATACAATAAACAAATAACAAATACAATAATAAATTATTTAAATGAATATGTAATTATATTTAATATTAATATATATACAAAGAAAATTTTATTCATAATAAAAAGTACAATTTATTTCATTTAAAAGATATTTATTATTAGATCTTCTAATTACTTTATGTCTTAAATGTTCAAATGGTTTTAAAAACTTTACAACTCATATCTGAAATTAAAAATAAAATTTTTAAATAAAAATTATTAAAAGTAAAATACAGATCTAAATTTTTATGTTTTAATCATTTATATCATTTTTTTAAATTATTTCCAAATATATAAAATTACTTCTCTATTTTTTAAATTTCTTAATTTCTTAATTGCATAACAAATACTATATTCAAATATTTCGATTGATCCTGTTTTCTGGAATACGTATAATTAATATGTTAAATATAATATTAATAAAATTGAAAATTAATATTTTTAATTGACCACTAATTAATGTATCCTTTATTGTTTAATATTTTTAATGAAATTCAAAATAATATTTAAAAATCCATAGTAAAAAATTGAATTGATAAATTCTAATTCTAATAACAGTTATGTTATAATACTTACAAAATACAATACCTATTGTTATATTTATTTTTGTTTGCGAATAATTTTATTTAAATATTTTAATTTCACTAAACATTCTTCTTTAATGAGATACGGTATTGGTATATTATTGTCATTTTTTATTTCATTCTCAATCTCTTTACTAATTGCTTTTAATGTTTCTTGTGTTATTTTTTCATTTTTCAATTTATTTTCTAAATCCAAAATTTTATATTGTACATTTTCACCTGCAAATTTAGCAGATCTTGCAAGTGATCCTACAGTTGCTTTAAGAGTAAAATTTGTTGCTGCTTTTGAAAAATAATTTAGAAAACAAAAGTATTCTAATTCTCCTGTTTTCAACACATGTGTACCAGAACACGCTTCTCTAGACAAAACACATATACATATATATATTAGTTTTCATAAAATAAAAAAATATTTAAATATATTTGAAAAATTTTTAAAATACATTGATTTTTTTTATTATTTTTTAGAAATACTTACTTTGATTTTAAATTATGAAAATCAATATCTACCAGTCTAATATCCTTGTAAGGATAAATTTCTCCTGGTATAAATGTTACAGAATTTTCTGCTAATAATTCCGAAGTATTTAATATTTTTGTAGTAACCGGAACATTAGCTGTTATAATATTATTTATAAGTTCTTCAATTTCATTCAATTGTTTAAGAGAAAGACTTTCTCCAAATGAATTAAATTGACATTTTAAGCTTTGTGGCATAACAATGTAATTGCGTAAATATACTGCTCCTATAATCTGTTGTATTGATGCATGTAATAAATGTGTAGCAGTATGATGTTGCATTATCCCTATACGAAATTCAGGTTCAATGGAAACCAAACAATCATCTTTAATCTTTAATTCTTCAATGTATTTTCTATGGAATAAATTTTTTTTTAGATTCTTAATAGCACAATATTAATAAATGTAATTATAGTTAAAATCAAAATAAAAACGTACCTCAAATCAGTTTGTATTAATTTACCATAATGAATGACATATCCATTAATTTTTTTTATATTATTTACATTAAAATTGAAATTTTTTGTACAAATAATAGCTTTGTCGGATATTTGACCACCTTGTGTTGAATAACACAATGTTTTATCTAATATAACTCCAATTTCCTCTTTACCTGATTCTATGTCGTCATTTGTAATTATCTCATTAACAATTGAATCTATATCTTTGTTTGTACTTTCATTTGCTTTGTTTAATATTATATTACCTGCAAACAAATTATGTACTTTTTTATTACATTATTTAAATTTAAGTGATATAAAGAAAAATTAATGATCAATCCTTACCATTTATAATTAATGCCAAGATTTTGCTTTCAATTTTAGGAAACTTATAATCATACTTTCCATTAAAAGTATATTTATATTTAAAACTGTCATCAGTTTTAGGTACATTATTTTTTTCAAGTATTTCTAAAAATTTCTTCGTTGTAATACTGCTGTTTTCAAGACCAATTCTAGATCGATTTTTGAGATCTTCTAACTCTTTCTGGAAGACTTTTTTATCAAAATGTAGAGATTCAATTTCTGCTAGTTCAATTATTGTTTCTACACTTAAACCATATGTATCATATAATTTGAAAGCAACATTTCCTGGTAATACATTAGCCACTTTTCTGTGAAATTAATAATAAATTAAACAAAATGTATATTTTTACCTGAGTAATTTATATAAAATTTCTAGTTTGTTCTGACTTGCAATTGACGAATTCTTGACCGCAATAAACGAAGAAAACAATTTATATTCATATAAACCACCCTGTATATTTACGCAGATACATACAAATCATTAAGTATATGTTGAAGATACTTGTATCCATCTTCAAGTCCAGGAGCTAATTGTTGAGTAATTGATTTCAATTGAGGATATATTTTAATAATTTTTGTCCATTGCTTACTACAAGTATAACGTAACTTTTTATATAAATTTTCTTCAAAGTCTATTATGTTTTGCACCTAATGCAATTAAATTATAAATTCAATGTTATCTTAATATAATATATTATAAAATCTTAAACAATCTTTCACATTTTTTGCTTTATAATACCTTTTTTAGATTCTTCTGCAATTCTGGATAAGTATCACCTAAATTTTCTACTACAATATATGTGAGTTCAGAAAGTATTCCTTCCTTTTTAAAGACTTTTTCACTTATATCAATTGATTTTCTTATCATTTTCCTAAGTTTATTGCTGAAAAGATAAAACCATAATTACATACCACTATTACATTCATTATTACATAAGTAATCATACATAAGTTAAAATTATTGTATAATTGTAACAACTTACATTTGTTCCGGTACAACTCCATCTGCTAAAGCTACAGTGATCATTCTGCTATGATCTGCCAAAATTCTATATCCACTATCAAGTTCATTTTTGTCATTATAAAATTTACCTTCATATTCTGGTGCTTTTGTATATTTTTGAATGGCTTTAAAAAATGGTTGAAAAATATCTGTATCATAATTTGACTGTTTTCCTTGTAATACTGCAACTAATCTTTCAAATCCCATGCCTGTATCAACATAATGCTTAGATAAAGGTATTATTGCACCATTTGATAACCTAATATAAAATAATTACAAGCTGACATTTTAAAAATAATATATAAAAAACGTTTATTTTGAAACTTGATAACAATAATTTTACACTGCGTACCGTTCATATTGTATAAAAACTATATTCCATAATTCAGTAAGATCTGTGTAACCTTTGTTAACTTGCATACTTCGATTTTTTAATTGCTTCGAATGATCTACATGTATTTCTGTACAAGGACCACATGGTCCTGAAATACCCATTTCCCAAAAATTCTCTTTTAATCCAAACGGAAGAATTTTATCTTTTTTAACACCTATATTTAACCAAATATCTTTACATTCCAAATCAGGTTTTAATTCTAATTTCTCATCTCCAGCAAAATATGTTACATATAAACATTCTTTGTCAATACCATAATGTTTTGTTAATAAATCCCAAGCATAACGACAAGCTTCTTCCTACAAATAGAAATTTATATTTTCTTTATTGTTATTTAACAAAATTTATATTGGAAACTAAGAATGATATAGAATAGCTTAAAATATTTTTAAAAGCATACTTTAAAGTAACTTCCAAAAGACCAATTTCCTAACATTTCGAAAAATGTGTGATGATAGCTATCACTTCCAACTATATCTAAATCATTATGTTTTCCACTAATTCTTATGCATTTTTGTGAATTTGTAACTTTTATTGCAGGTGGATCATAATAATTTAAAAAAATTCCTTTGAACTAGAAGAAATTGATAGTTTTATTAATATATAATATTGTAAAGAAACATTAATTAAAATTCTTAAAATAAAATATACTCTCAATGAAAATTAATTATAAAATTATACCTGGTTCATGCCAGCATTAACAAATGCAACTGTACGATCATTGAGTGAAATAACAGGGCTTGAACGAATAAAAGTATGCTCCAAATCTTTTTCAAAATACTTCAAAAATTCATTTCTAATTAATTTTGCACTCTTTTGTATTGTACCAGAACTGTACATCCGTGTTAATAAAATATGATTCATATCTTTCTTATTTCAAATATTATTATTTGATTAATTTATTGATTTCAATAATTACACTTTAAAGACATTTAATATTAATCATATTAATTGTATTAGATTATTAGTTATATCAGATAATACTCTAATATTTTATTTTAAATTAACATGTATTGATTACAAGTTTTCAAACTCTCCATGTATCATACACCGTAATAGTGCAAAAATCTTTTTTAAAATAAACTGCGAATACTACATAGCGTAGATTTGTGAATGCTATATACTGTATTTGATGTAAAATTTTATAATAAAATTGAAACATAGTAACTTTCATTTGATTGAATAAAATCATACTATATAATTTTTAAATTTATTTATTTTCGTTAATCGATTTAAAAAATTATCCTTTTATAATATGTAAATTCGTATGTTACTTGTTCTTTAAATTGTTTAATTTTTATTAATATAAATTCTTTTTTACAAAATACAATTTAAATAACTAAATATTTAGTGTCTTCCAAAAAAAGAGTATATTCATGAAAATATACCTTACGTACAGGTAACCTAGTGATTTTGTCTCTAAAAGGAAACTAAAGTTGGCAACATGTAATAGAGAACTTATTACTTGCCATCGAAAGTGTTCAAGGTAGAAATCGTTGACGCCATTTCGTATCTCGTTTCGCTCAAAGCGTCACGAAAGTTTTTCCCTTTTTACTTTAATTTAATTTCGCCAAAACGTCGCAACCACATGTAAGTAGTAACGTGGTGTTGTAACAAGATATTTGACAATTAGATAGATTTTTGAGAGATTTGAAATATAAGCGCGATGAAGAAATTTATACATCGTCAGTTACTAGGGCACGCCAAGGGCCGGTTGTTTTTAGATATCTTTTTTTCTCACTTACAAGGTCGTATTTCAGTTCCACGTTCTCTTTTCAAATTCGGGTCACAATATATTACTTTGTACTATCTCGTTGTAGTAGTTATGGCAAATGAGATGAATAAAATTGTTTTCCTTTCTGTTGATAATATTAGATAATTTTCATGGCCTTGAACAACTTAAGCGTCTTCTACGTTTACCGCAAGAAAATATCACTTCTCAATTTCATTTAATTTCTTTTTTTTTTTTCAGCGATTTAGAGTTCATGAAATTTTAATAAATCAATACCTCTTTTTAATTTTTTATGAAAATAAAATAATTTTATATATTTGCATTTTAAGACACCTGTTCTCACACAGTAACAAACTGTGTGTAAGTATGTAATGACCATGTAAGTTTTATGCATTTTTTTTAATATTCTTGAAATGTAGTTTCTCCATTTCAGGAAATTTCAAGGAAATGTTAATGCTTACATGTAACCATTTCTTTCAAAGGTATTAATTTTTAAAGTATAATATATGTAAGAACTTAAATGTTTAATATTTGCTTTTTTTGTAATATTAATCTTTTTTTATCTTATTCTGTGAATTTTAATATTATTAATATTATTAAGTCCAAGCAAAGTATACATATATAATTTAGCAAAATTAAATGTTTCAAAAATGTAATAATTTTAAAAACGATTCAATTTTGAAAATTTATTTCATTTTCTTAAATTTTATTAGAAAAAAATATATATCATGTAAAAATAAATATAATATAATTAAAGTTTAATTATTGTTAAAAAATTATATATTAAAAAATTCAATTATAAATTTTTTTGTAATTGTATTATAATAGCTATTTTTATTATACTATTATTACAATAAAAAATTCATCATTTTATGAATTTTAAATGTAATCGACTTAAAATTCTAATATGTACAAAAAAATGTACATGGTTATGAGGTAATCAATAGTAATATGTGTAAATGATTGCAAAATATTATTATTTCACAAGTCATGAAATTATTATAATTAATAGACTAATTAAATGATAAAAGTGATGCAATCATTTAAAAGTGAAATAATAATATATATAAGATAGTAATTAATACTGTTTTTTTATTTTCAGAAAATGGTTTCATCTAATCAACCGGTAAGAACAATGCTAATAGTAAATTGTTTTCCATTTTGTTTCCATTTGATGACCTCATTGTTTATTTTTCACGTATAACATTATTTTTCTCAAATAAATCATTAATATAAGTTAAATGACAATTTGTTTATAGGTACATAAGGTATTGTGTTTTTGTAAATTTTTTTATATATTTTATTAAGACCTTTTATAACTTATCATTCATAATTAATGTACAAATAGATTAAATATAAGCTCAATGATATCGCATTATCATTATCATATGATTTTTGTAATAATAGCAAAAATTTTGAGCAAGATAAAATCTCAAACAGACACCATACTTTCTGCAAACAGAGGTATGGTCGATTTTAGAGGTACAAAATAAGTGTAAAATTTTATTTAATAATTAGTATTTATAAATGCATGCATTATAATTATATAAGGAAATATTATGTAAATAAGCATTATTAATTACACGTTTCAATTTTGCAGAGAAAAACAAAAATATTTGTGGGTCGGTTACCAGAAAATTGTCGCAACGATGAGTTGCGACAATTATTTTTACGTTTTGGTGAGGTAACGGAATGCGATGTCATGAATCGATATGGGTTTGTCCACATGGCACGTGAGGAAGATGCAGCTGCTGCGATCAAAGCTCTTCACAATTCCAACTTCAAAGGGGCAACAATCAATGTGGAACAGTCTACAGGCAAATCACGTGGCGGCGGAGGAGGACGCAGGGATGGAGACAGAAGAGGTGGACCAGTGAGAGGTGGTAGGGGAGGACGAGACGGTGGTAGAGACGCTCGTCCTGGACCATACAATGATAGAAGAGGTTGGTAAATATTTTTACAATGTTCTATTTTTTTATATATCTATTTTCTCATTGCTAATTAGAATGTTGTACAATAACAACGAATTTTATTATTTAAGAATTTAATTCTTTTCTTTAATTGTTAAAAAATTAATATGCTTTATTCTACAGCAAACTGAATAAGTTTTTCAAGATCCATAAGATCAATGAGTTTTCTTAAATATATAATGAGATAATTTATACAGTGTAGCATAAAGCATTTTGCAATGAGAAAATAATAAATTAAGGCAATAATGTTTTTATTAATACAGACTAAAATACAAATTGGATATCTCGGCATGCTTTACAGTTCTTCCGATCCAACTCGTTGGTTACGATGGATCTGCTGCAGGTGGCGTCGCGACGGGGTACACCGATTACAATCGTGGCGCTGGAGACTTTAGTGGACGTGGAGCCGACTTTGGGACTGGATACACTGATCGTGGAGCATATGGTCAGAATGTGGGAAGCGCGGCAATGGGTTACACATCAACGGCACCTGGAATGGGAGGAGGATACGGACCAGCAACTGGAGCTGTTGGAGGATACGGACCAACTGGAACAGCCGATTATGGTCGAACTGACTACAGCCGCGCTGCAGATTTTGGAGCTAGAACAGATTATGGTAATTACGGTGGTACGTGTTTTATTTAGCCAGGATAATGTAATATATTCATAATTAACTCTTCTTTATATTGGAATGAAATTTTTTGGAATGAAAATTAAATATTTTCTTTCTTTTTATAATTATCTTTTAGATTTATAATACATACTTTCAATGTTCAGATTTGATTTTTGTATATGAAATTATTTCCATTATAAAATTGCAATTTGGCATAAAAAATAGAGTAGTTCAACTTTTGTCTAATATTTTGTATCATAATATTTTGTTATTGTTTGCACTTTATCAAATATGTATAAAATCATATGATATATTTTTCTTAACAAATTTTCTTAATAAATATTATTTTTGCAATGGATTAGTTATTTCATAAATATTATATCGTTAGATTTTGATATCAAAATTAAATGCATGAATATTTAGTTGATGTGTTGCTATTATTCCAGAAGCTATTTGTGAGCTTTAAATAAGTAGGTTAGGTTTAGTTAGGCCATAGTAAGCAAAATTATTATTCTAATGTAGAGTTTACATATTTTGCAGTAGTTGGAGGTGGAATGACTGGGGATTTTAATCGTGGTGCACCAGGTCCAATGGATTATGGACGTACAGATAACTTTGGTGCAAATCGTACAGTTGATTATACAGCTAGAAATGATTATGATCGAGCTGCAACTGGGCCTATGAGAAACGGTGGTGGTGCAGTTGCCACTACCGGGTATGGAACGGGTTACACAGATGTAGGATATGATGAAAGTCACTGGTAATATATTTCATTTGTTTTATAGCACTAGAGTTAATTTTATCATTTAATATTAATTAGTGTATTGATACGTTGGTAATTACATTTTTACTAATATCATTACATTAATTATATAACAATAACATTTAAAGTAGTAAGTCAAATATTAAAAATTTGAATTAACAACTTTTAATAAAATGCATTTTTTTTTTTTATAAGTTTTTATACATAACAAATACGTGACTCTAAACATGTAAGAAAAGAATTTTAATATTTAAGGACTATTAAAATGTTAACATTTCAAGAGAAGTATACACTGTAGAAGGATAAATCTTTTGCAGCATTTTAAAACATTTTAGCATAACAATTATGAATTGAAACTTTATTTTTATTCTAACCTGTAATGCTTGTACTAATTTAAAATTTTCAAGTGCATCATATCAATTACATCGTACAATTAATTATGCTTGAGCAAAATTCTGGTGCATTATAAGGATAGAGTGAAAATAAGTTAACATATTCCAATTGTGTATGACAGGGGTTATCCGGGCGGGCCTGGGGATATGATGGGTGGGCCCGGGGGGGTAAGTCAGGGAGCTTCAGTGGCCTATGACAGGAGGGATGGTCCCCCTGTTAATGATATGACTCCATTTAACAGGCCAATGAGTACTGGACCCAGCTACAGCACTGGAGCGCCTAGTTATAGTACTGGTCCTGGACCACAAGCAGACATGTTTAGTAGAAGACCTGGCAGTGCCGTCCCTAGTGGTGGATATCCACCTGTTGGTGGAGGGTGAGTAGAAATGTTACATTTATTTTATTATTTAAGACATCTATTTATAATATATAAGATTTATACATATATATATTTATGATTTATTTATTTATACTTGTGTGATGTACGAATGTTCAATAGTCTGATTCAGAAGACTTTACCGAAGAAGTCGTGTAGTAACCCGATATTTCCGTGAGCGGTCAGAAGATTCGATCCGAGCAAGCTATTGTTGATTTCTTTGAATGTGCTCGGGGAAGTATTGGATTACCTGATTACATTCGTATACTATAGATATCCAGTCTAATATATCTGATATTTCCGGATACAATTGAACAATATTGCTATTTGGCATCAAATTATAAATACAAGACCTTGCTTTCTTTTATATAATTTCATACTGACAATTGGTAATTGCATGTTAACACGAGTAAATTAATTCAGTATCCTTTATAAATTCTGCGAATTATCTAAATATACTATAATGTTACCTTTATAATATTATAATGCAATTATATTGCAATTATTGTTAGTTACAATGGACATAATTTTTGTTGTAGCTATACTGAAGGGTACGACAGACCAGACGCATATGGTCCTCCGCGTGGTGGCGGACGGTAAGTCCTATTATTATAATAATAATTATTATTACTATTATTATTATTGTTATTATTGTTTAATACGTTATACTCCTTACACTCCAATGCGTTTTTTAAAGTGATACTGATCACACAGCGTTAAAGAGCGATATTAACTTATGCGAGTAGTCATTCACTGTTCAGGCGACTACGCTCTTTTTGCGCAACGTCATTTAATTTGATTGAACACTGGTCACAGTGTATTCACGTTTCTATGCGAATCGATGTAGGTTAAACATTTTCTGTAAAAGTATAAGGTGTGACACTTAGCGCGAGATCACGAATATTTCGTGATCGTAGAAATGCGATATGTGTTTGTGCACATAGCAGCACAAAATTCAGATTTCTGTTGTCGATACGAACAAATTGTTCTGCGACTTTTCTAGTGTCGAGTGTAAAAGAGAACAGAGGTAGTTGAACATTTTATTCAAATGAACGTATAAACCTGAAGTCTCAGTTTAAAAATAAGCGTGCGAAGCGAATTTGATTTGTAAAATTTGTTTAGAGAATCGTAAAAGAAAAGAAAAACTAGCGTGGCGTGCTCCAGCCTTTATTGTAGCTGTTCATTAGTAATGACTTGAATATGAAAATCGTTTTGCTTCTTTGAGTAAGAGCTCAGGAAGGAGAGAAAATCGGATCGAGAGTCTTTGAACGATTTGAACAACTGAGATATTTGCATTCAAGTTACAATAATTCGATTCGTGGTACATACTTGAAAAGTTATTGTCTCATCGTGTGTTCTCGTTAAGCATCATGTACATATTATTGATTCGGAGTTAGAACCATTATTTAACTTGACTGCTACCTCTCTTCTTTTATGTACTCTGCGGTAAAAGTCCGCGAAATCAGCGATTTCGAATTACATCGAGATATTTGCGATGAATCGAACGATAGTGTGCCGACAAGTGAACCGCAATAATGATATAACACGTAACGACACACTGCGCCGTTTGAACAACGTTTGTATTCTGAAGATGCATACCATCGGTCTCTCCCCGTATCACGAAACCGCATCGGTTTTCATTCTTTCTTCTTTTTCTTTTTTTTTTTTTCTTTTTTTTTTCTTTCCTTTTTTTGAAAGAACGCCATAACCACGAGAAATGCGTATCACGTTTCATAACATACACCGAGAAGAAGACAGCCCCCCGGGTTGGTTGTTGCGTTGCGTTCATTTGCTAATGCGTCTGGTTGCAAGTGTATCGAGCGGCTCGAAGAAAATTTTCAACGATCGTTCAAAAGTTTTGTTTTGGAAATGCTCGAGCACGTACTCGCACACACGTCGAGAAACAATCGTGAAACTGTCGTCGATACGTTTTTGCGACAACAGCGAGAAAACACGCCTGGACGTGGCAAGGAGAGAGAAGCAGCTTTGAACATGTGACAACTTGTCAGACCTGAGTCTGATTCGGTGTCCCGCATTTATGGTTTCAGTTTCTTTAGAATGATACATTCCTATATTGTCTTCATTGCATCGCAACAAACGTATAAAACGTGTAATAGTGTAAAAACACGGCAATTATCGTTGAAAGTTTAATCCTTTGTTTTGTGTTTCCTCAAATTAAATTCCTGTATGTTCTTAGTACATTAATATAATTTGAACTGGAATAGTAAGCTCTTGATCTTAACATTTCTAGACATGTCTGGTAAATAATGAAATGCTTTGGTAATGTTTATTTTTGAATCCATTTGACAAAACCTAAGTTTTTATATTTCCTTTTTGGAAAAGTTCTTTTCTTTCTCTTCTGATAATTATGGATTCACACGCGTTAACAGGAAGTTCCTCTGAATTTAGAATTTCTAACGTAATGACATCTCTTCATCTTTGTTTACTGTTGGCTGATGAATGAAGTAACGAAACGCAGAATATTCCTATTACCTCTGACTTTTGTCGCACAGAAGAAGCAAAATTTGTCCATCATACAAAGTACAGTATTGAGAGATACATTAGTATACATTAATATAATTATATTGTACATTGTATATTGTATGACTGGAATAAGTAAGCTCTTGATCTTAACATTTCTAGACATGTCTGGTAAATAATGAAATGCTTTGGTAATGTTTATTTTTGAATCCATTTGACAAAACCTAAGTTTTTATATTTCCTTTTTGGAAAAGTTCTTTTCTTTCTCTTCTGATAATTATGGATTCACACGCGTTAACAGGAAGTTCCTCTGAATTTAGAATTTCTAACGTAATGACATCTCTTCATCTTTGTTTACTGTTGGCTGATGAATGAAGTAACGAAACGCAGAATATTCCTATTACCTCTGACTTTTGTCGCACAGAAGAAGCAAAATTTAATCATTATACAAAGTACAGTATTGAGAGATATTTTACCCAGGTCTGAAAGTTGTATGTTATCCGGCAAATGTGTATTACATATGCGTTGCGAGGAGATTCGATCGATAAAAATCAGGTATATATCCAATACGTGGTGTGACATTTTGGTAGTGAAAGGCGACAATGTGAACGCAACCACTGGCCGCTGTGTAAAGAAAGAGACAAGACGAGAAACGAAACTTTCGGTAAAAATGCATTCGCGCGTATCAGTGTTGCATCTTATACTTTCCAGCTTTTTGTTGCGCCGCAAGGCGAATGAAGAAATTAATACTGCGATTTTTCATTTTTTGACCTTTTAGCTTCCCAGGTCCGGCAGACGCGATGCCACCGAGGTACTAAAAGCGTACTAAAGCGAATACTAAAGCGCATACGAAAGGCTCCTTTAATAGATACGATATAATGATATATAGATACGATCTAACGTTTAACACACTAACTTAAGATATGGTAAGAATAAGAAGCACATCAATGAGCAACATGAATGAATAATGAAAACACGCAACCACGATCACCTGAAGAGAGAGAAAAAAAAAAAAAAA